ATGATCTCTTGATTTTATGATCATTAGTTTTAACATTAGCATGATCATTGACATTAGCATTGGTATTACCATTAGCATAAGTACTAGAACTAGAATTGGGCTCAGCATTGATGTTACCATAAGCATTAGCATTAGCATGATCATTAGCATTAGCATTAGCATAAGTAATAGTAATAGTATATGTAACTATGTTGGTATAAGTATGAGTAGCATTAGCATTATTATTATTATTAGTATTAGTTTGTCCAATTTTATGAGCATAAGTGCAAGAATTAGTACTTGCATTAGTATTAGAGTAAGTATGTGTATTTATTAACATTAGTATTAGTATTAGCATCACTGCTAGTATTAATATAAGTATGAAAGTAAATAGTAGTAGTATCAATGTCTCTGTTTATAGGGCATGCCAATGTCCAATAGTGCTAGACCTCAGCTCGAATTGTTGTCTTTATTTTTTGCAATGGGGTGTGCTGAAAAATTTCGCAACTTGTTTTACCCACTGACCTTGAAAAGTGGATTTATTCAAATTGACTGCCGGCAGCTGTGCCCACTGGGGTGGCTCAGCATCTCAGCGTTTCAGGTTGCAATGCCTGCCGCTGATCCACCCTGCAATACGATTCAACTATATGAGATTTTGCAAAACATTTCATTTATGCAAAAAACAACAAAAGGCAATTGCAAAAACAACAACAACAGCACAATAAAACCTATTTGTACTCTTAGTCTTATCAACGTTTCGCTTATCGGAAATCCATTAGCTTGTTTGCCCTGATTATTGGCCCTGATTCGATTGCTCTGCTAATCGTTCGATCCCAATGGATTGCATAGCCTCAATATTGCCATTGTTTGGCCAAATTGTTGAGCTATCGATTTCAAAGTGAGCCGATTGACTATGCAAATCGCTTTATTACGCACAAGTTGCCGAGAGGCACAATATGCCCATATAATATTCAAATGGTGGTACTTAGGTACTTAGGGGGAGAAACAGGTGCTCGAAAATATGTTATGTTATGAATGTAATTCGAAACTTTATTTTGAGAAATAAGAAGAATGTTTTTTATGACATGTTGCAAAAGAAGATTCCGAGGTAATTATGTATTTCGTCGGTTACCAAAACAGATTTTGAACTGAGTTGGAAATATTAGAATGGAATAAAATCTTCTACCTCTAGTGACTAAATAATAAATGCAAATAGCTGATATAATTTCCTAAGACTAAAAAAAAGAGTATAGCTGACATCTTAATTTAAAAATGTTATGGTAAATTATATCATTTGCTACAGATATGTTAAAACCTAGACTTACAAAATAAAAGTAAGGCTTACTAATTCATCCGAACTGCAAGTCAACAACATATTACGCCAAGAAAATGAAGATGAATGTGTTTAATAAAGACTATAGAAAATCGTAAGGAATGTTATTATTGCTCCACTTAATAGTATACAATTGTTGATGCATAGCCAATTAGAACATATACATACAAATATTTATAGTATATATAATGTAATATAAA